ATAGGTGAACTTTAAATTCTCAAATTTATGGATTTAAATTTCTCTGGGCTTTAAAAGTTAGCTAATGCAAAAAAAAACAAAAACAAAGAGAAGCCATATTGGATTTTCCTTAATCACTACTTGATGAGATGCAGCAAATAAATACATCTTTTAGACCCCAATTTTTCCCTGACACTGAATTTGAAGAGGAATTTTCAATTGAACTGGGTCCGCATAACACTTAGTTGGCCTAATGAACACCGTGTTTGAAAACTGCTATTTTAAGAAAAGCTTATTGTAGACCATCAACTCTTCAATCAGCAAAAGCATTTCTGTAAGGAGATGATATATGATTGTCCAGCTCTGGTTTCCTAATCTCACTTGATACACCCTGGAATGCATTTACCACACCCTATGCTTTACTGCCGGGTCACAGTCAGTTTCTGCAGCATGCATGTTCTCTCCCCCACTCTCGTCAATGCCCTGTCTCGCTGGGGTTGGTCAGCCTGCTGTCCATGTTCCTCCGCAGACCCCAGCCAAACAAACCGAAACTGAGCAAATGCTAATGAAAATGTGACTCGCTGGGGTCAGGGCCCAGGCCTCATAAACAGTGTGGTGGTTACTGGCATGCCCTCTGGGAACAGGCAAGGGGGCCTGAGAGCCAATATGAGAAAAGGCACCATGACAATTGAGGGGTAAGGGGGCTGCCTGCACATGGGTGCGGGGAGCAGTCATCATGACTAGCCATCAGTCCTGAGGATCCAGGGGAACCCTGATGGGAAACTAGATGTGCTGAGGAGCCGAGTGACAATATCCTCCTTTGTAAAGGGGATGATATTCTCCCCTAGTTTACAGAGCAGTTTTGATGATTAAATGAACTAGTCTGCAGCAGTACTCAGCACAAAGTAGGTGCTGGATACACATTCTCTCTCATTACTAGCAGCAGCAAATAACCGGCAGGGCCAGGTTATTCTTCCAGGGCTGGGCCCCCTTCCTCTTAGCAGAGAAGGGACGAGGGCACAGGAGCCAGAAGAGGGGGCTGGAGACCCACTGGCCACACTCTGAAAAAGCAGTCACGCAAAGCTCTCCCTGGCCTCCTAGAATATTAATTGGCAAAAGTGTCAAAGATTTATTTAGTGCTGGCTGTGAACTAGGCCCTCTGCTAGGCACTTTCCATGCATCATATTCTTGGTCCTTCCAACAACTGGGTGGGCTGGTATTATTATTATTATTAGATGGATGATTCTATAGGTGAGAAGAATGGGTGTCAGAGAAATTAAGTAACTGCCTAAAGTCACTGAACATATTTGGGAACAAGGGTCCTGGCTCTCTAGTCCCTCAAATTGTGGGCACAGAGAACAGGCTATTTCCACACTGTTCTGCTACTGGGAAGAAAGTGGCTGGTGTCCTGCTGGGGCTGGGCCTACTGGCAGCAGAAAACCCTTCTTCAATGAGGCTGAGGCTGGCACCAGGAGCGAAAAGGCACCGTTTCCCTGGGAGCCACGTGAACTTCGCTTATTTTCTTTCTGCCCCAGTTTTGCTCTTATTTGCCTTCTTCACACACATATAGTCAAGCTGGATGAGCACTTTTAAAATACTCTGGAAGACCGGGTAAAAGTCACTATATAATCATTGCCTGCCTCAGACATTCATGCTGGCTGAGGAACGATGTAATTTTAAACTAATCATATAAATAAACTATGAAACATCATTCAAATGTCTACTTATTTATCACTTTCCCACATCTAAGCATTTACTTAAAGAATGAGCAAACATTGCAGAAACTCAAGCAGTGGGTTCAGGTGACCACCAGCAAGGTGCAGCAAGAGGAATCACGTTGGTGGGGGTCCTGGGCAGGCGGTCCCCTCTCCCACTCCTGCAGCCCCGCCCCGTGAGTTCCCTCTGGGTTCCCCACTCTCCCTGGGCACGGTGCTCCTCAGCCCCCAAGTCTACCGTGCATCTCTTCTCCCTGCACCACAGATCAAGTGAGCAGACGCACACAGACGTGTCACTGGCACTGTAGGAAGGAACCACAGAGATGCACCCAAGTCTGGTTCCTGTTCCTCGAGTAGATTTGCACCAGGTCCAAATCTGGACCATGTCATAGGTATCAGCATCAGTCTGAGATTATAAAGCATTTAAAAGAAATAATAGATGTATTGAGATCTAATTCACATACCACACAACCCACCTATTCATAGTGTATACTCACTAGTGTACAAGTAAGTGGTCTTTAGTACACTCACAGAGCTGTGCCACCACCAGCACAGTCAATTCTGGAGCATTTTTATCATGTCAGAAAGGTACTCTGGCCCTTCACCAATCATCCCCATTCTTCCCCACCCTTCCCAGCCATCAGGCCTCAGCAACCACTAATCCCCTTATTTGCCTATTTCGGACATTGCACACAAATGGAATCATAAAATACATGGACTTTCATCATTGGCTTCTTTCACTCAGCATGTTTTCTGGGCTCATCCATGTTGGAGCAGGTATACTCATTCCTCTTTATGGGCAAATAATATTCCACTGTTTGAATGCACTCCCTTGGGTTTATCGTTTCATCATGGATGGATATTTGGGTTGTTTCCACCTTTTGACTATTATGTGTAATTCTGCTATGAACATTTGTGTACAGGTTTTTGTGTGAGCAGGTTTTCAGTCCTCTTAGTTATATACTTAAGAGCGGAATTTCTGGGCTATATGATAATTGTTTAGTTTTTGAGGAATTGCCAAACTATTTTCCAAAGTGGCTGCACCATTTGACATTCCCACCAAGAGTGTATAAGGGCTCCAGTTTCTCCACATCCTCACTCACGCTTGCTGTCATCTGCCTTTTTGGTTATAGCCATCTTAGTGGGCTTGAAGTATGTGGTTTTAATTTGCATTTCCCTGATGGCTAATAATGTTGTGCATGTTTTCATGCACAATGGGGAAGTATTAGTTATTTGTATATCTTCTTTGGAGAAATGTCTTTTGCCCATATTTTAAATGGATTGTGTTTTTATTATTGAGTTGGAAGAGTTCTATATACAGTCTAGATAAGATAAGCCCTTATCATATATTTGATTTACAGTTTCTCTAATTCTGTGGATTGTCTCCATTTTCTTGATGGTATCCTTTTGAAGCACAGAAGATTTTACTTTTGAGGACATCCAGTATAGCTGTATATTTTTTTCTTGCCTGTGCTTTTGGTGTTAGACCACTACTTTTTTGCAACTGTTCAGGTGCCAAGTTGTTGACTAAGGGTCACACTTGACCCTCAGGCTATGTCTTACTCTGTTTATGCCCATTGGGTCCAGAGCTTTATCTCCCCCTCCAGCCTCAACCAGAGCCCTGAACTAGCACTGTGCCATCTGGCCAGAACTACCCTGATTTTGCGGCGTGTTCTGGATGAGTCCAGTTAGAGTCCTTCCTCTGCAGTGACCTGGCGCGTGTGTTCTGGTGTTAGACCCAGATGAGGCTCTATGCTTCACCTTGTACTGGCTCAGTGATCTTGCCTGAATAGCCTTGAACACCGACAAGGCTTTCTTTCCACATTTTGAGAACACTGTGAACATTACAGAAAAGAATTCCTGTAAAATGCTGCACCAGGTGCCTCGCACAGCATAAATAACAAATACTTGCTGTAGTGCTGCTGTCTCTGGTTGTTCCCTCTCTGCAAGAAAGCCTGCTTTCCAGAGCTCATCACACTGTCTGTGGTTGGTCACATGGCTCTGCTCTACACCCACTGCATTACCCTGACAGTCCGCCTTCTCTCTCCTTCCTTACCTCGGGTAGGGACACCTCTTCACTCCCTGAAAGATCATCACCCATACCTCCTGAGGCCAGCTCTTCATACAGACTCTGTCCCCAGCTGCCTGGTTCATCTGTCCAGTGGCTACTTAAAAGCACCTAATACTACAATTCCTCTTCCTGGGCTTTGCTCTCCACCTGGCCCCTGTGCAGTCCCCTGTCTTTCCGAGACCTGGGGTCCTTTTGCATTCACACTTGCCCACCCCCTTCCTCCCCTCTCCCTGCCTCTCTCTGCTCTCCTGTCCTCTTGTCTTGCAGCTACCCTGGCCTCTCTGCAGCTTTGCAACTCCTTAAAAACACCAGGTTCCCATCCGCCCTAGTGCTGGTCTGTAGGGGTCCCTGTGTCTACAGTGTTCGCCCAACATATCTGCTCGGCCAGCTGCCTCCTCTCCTTGCTCTTCTCTCCCCTGTTCAGTAACACCTCCCCTGGCCACCCCCCTAATGCTGCCATTTGCCTGGCCATCACTGGGGCAACTACCCTCCTTACCTGCTCTGGGTTTTCTTTTTTCCATAGCAACCACTTTCTTCTGCCTTTCTGCATAATTTACTTATTATTTACTGTTTAGATATTTTTCAAAACCTTGTTAGGCTGTAAGCTCCGCATGGGTTGCATGCTTTGCCTGTTCCCCTAAGCAGGGCCTCAAAGCTGCTCGACAATTATCTGTGGCAATGATGGAGCCGCCGTGATCTGCATTTTTTGATCGCTAATAAGGATAAACATCTTCCTGTGATCGCAGTCCATACATGTTTCCTCACTTGTGAATTGCCTGTTCATTCTTTTGTCTGTTGGCCTGTGTTTTCTCTTTTTTATTGACTTATAGGGACTCTTGACATTTTTGTCACACTAATCCTTTGTTAGTATGCTTATTCCTTTTATTAGCATTTGAACTTGAGAGAGCTTTCCTTTATCTTCCCTCTCCCCATTATTTAGTTTCTTAGCTGCTGCATTTCCCCCTTTGTTTCAGTTTTTAAACTATAATTTGTTGTGTATAATGTTGATATTAATTTTTTCACAGTGCTTCAGGTTGCAAAAACTAGCACCTGTTATGGTGACACACTGAAGGCACAGAGAATCTAGTAGGGACCCCTGACACGAAAAGTCACCAACACTCAACAGACGTGTTCAGGTTAGTATCAGCGTGTGTTCACGTTCGGAAGGGAGCAAGAGACATGCCTGCTGAAAAACAATTAAATAATTACAAGGGAAAAAAACAGTCCAAACATACCCTGGCAAGCAGTCCCCACAGACGGCATCGCTGGTGACAGAGCAGTTTGCCTTCTGGAAGCGGTTCACCACTGCACAGTCCAGGCAGGGCTTGCATTTCTGAAAGCCCCAGTCCTCCTTGAACCTGTGCGGCCGGCACGTCACGCACTGGGCATCCTCGCCATAGCCAAAGCCACATTCCTGCAAGGATTAACAGGCAATAGAAAGCTATTCAGACCTTGCAAGCGTGAAAAGGAAAGACCGCTGGGATAAAACGAAGACCTGGTCTAGTAATTACCCAGCGCCAGCCTTCCTAGATACAAAGGCAGCTCTTTCAGCAAGTTCAAATGTGTCTCCCACTGCTAATAATCTCTCTTACTATGATAAGTATACTTAGTCATCCACTTTATTCAAGAAGCTATGAGCATTTGAATAATAAAGGTTCTCCAGGACCCCCACTGCTACATTATTGCTAGCTTATGGCAGAATTATGGCACTTTCATCTTTTCTCATTAAGCCAGTCATGTGAATGTTCTGAAACTAAAGTCAGGGAAATATTCAGACACTTACTCACTTATCAAGGCAGACAACAAGTACTTTGATATCATCTGTGATATTTTAGAAAATGGGGACAGTTGCATAAGAAGTTTCATAAGCTAACTAGCCTAGAAATCCATCTAGCACAGAGCATCTTGAAATGTTTAGCTGCTTATTATTGTCTAACAGCAGGAAGAGTCTTAGATATTCCTTAAAAGAACACTAAAGACTTATTTGGATTAAACTGTGTGACAGACATTAAAGGTCTCAAGCTTCCCTAGATGTGGACATGAGAGCGCAGTACTGCTTTCTAAGATGGTGGGCTCTTTGACTCACGTATGATCATTTCCACAAGCTCCTGAGCTAAACAAATCACAGTATATCACATAATGGAATTATATCACAACTGTAAGAATTATGTAGATGTGCGTTTGTGATAAGTTTAAAAAAGTTTTAGTACAGAATTAGAAGTACGACTCCATTTCTTACAAAGCCATTAATAATTAGCACCAACCTTTAGCCAGGAACCTTACACACAGTACCTCATTAATTCATACTTCTTCCTGGGGAGGGGAGCACCATTATTATTCCCATGTCATGGATGGGAGCATGGAGCTCCCAGAAGGGATGTGCCTGAACCAAGGTGATACAGCTAAGGTGAGAACCTCGATTTGAATGTACACAGTTAAACTCCAGAGTCCGACTTCCTACGGCTGCACTGTAGGGACTGTCAGGTACTTTATCTGACGTACACATAGGGAGATGTCTGAAAGAATATATCAAATGCTAACACTGGTCTTCTGTCCTTGGTCGTGGTTCCCACAGAACATTAAGAAAAAAGTAAATAGCAGCTCAAGGGCTCCAAGGAGAGCATCTATATAGAGCGTACTGGGCGAGCCACACACAGGGCTTGATACAGCAGAGGGATGAGGCTCCCACTAACTCTCTTAGGGCCTCAGTTCCCTCACCTCTAAACTGGGGATGCCAGAATGTACATCCTAGCTGGTTTGAAATTCCCATTTGTCTATACAATGTATATATTTAAATTTCTTCATCCACCCATACACAGTCAACTGAGCAGTACTTATTGGCCAAAAATAAAATCAAAACAAACACAAAGGACAGTCTTCTTTGTACTGAGAAAAACAATTCAATAAAATATACTAGTAATACATTTCAATCTAGATTTTTTACTAATTAACTTGTTTACATTTTGGGGCAGGGTGTCCCTTCCATCCTTCCATTTCTCTGCCTGTCTTTCAAATGTGTATCTTGAACATGCACAGCAACAAGGGGGGAAGGGAAAAAAGCACAGGTCAGCGACTTTCTTAACCCCAAACCCAGCTAGACAATGTTCTAAACCAAAGGCACAGAAAGAGGAAGGAAAACATTTGATGTGAAGAACTAATTCATAAATTCCAATTTCTTTAAAACTGTTCACAGGGATTACCTTTGGGGGGCGTTGGTAGTGGAATTATGAGATGTTTTCAATTTTTATGATTCTGTAACAATTTAATTTTTTTTTTGCAGGAAGCACCTATTATTCTAGTACTCAGGAAAAAAGCAAAGATACATATTCAAAACAAATTTTTTGGGACACGTCCTAGGTCTTGACAGGGAGGTTTCCAGAGCTCTGTACTAAATGGGCAATGTGATCCTGTGCTGGGACAGAGGCGCGCTTTTGCTGAGTACTTGAGTCGCTGAGATTGCAGAGAATCCAGTGAATTTCTTTAAGGGTCGAAGGCAGCTGCCCATCACTACCTCCCAGGATGGACACCCGGTGCACGGGACGTTTGTGGGGTGGGGACCTCACTGTTCACAGGCACCTCTACATCCAAAGATCACACAAAAGCAATGCTTCAAAATCGTGCTTTGATCCAGGCAGCTTAGACTGTAAGAGTGTCATATACAAGTTAAAACACAACAAAGAAGAAAAGGAAAAAGGAAGAGTAGAAGAGAAAACAAAGGAAAAGAGAAAGACGTGTGTTCACTGGAGCAAATGTCTGAATTTTGTTTTTCGAGCTAGGTTGATATGGGAGAACAAGTTTGTATTTTCCTCTGCTGGAGCCAAAGACACACGACTCTGAACACCAGCTCTGTCATGTGTCAGCTAAGTTATTCTGGGAGCTCCCTGACCCTCAGTCTCTTCATCTGTGCGATGGACAGTACCGCCTGCCCGATAGGGTTGTCTTGAGGAGTAAACAGGAAAACATACAAAGCCTCTACACTAGAAACCAAGCACAGAGTGGGCATTAATCAAATAAATGACACCTTGGCTATTTCCTGATCAAGCATAATAAAGTCTCATGGGAAAACAAGGGATCTTCAGACCTCAGTTTTTCCTAGGTTACTCAAAACATCACTTTCTATCCAAAATATGTACATTGAACAAAAAATCTCTCTAAAATGAACTGGAATTATCTGTCTTTTAAAAACCAGCAAATGAAATGTCATTTAACCTTACCTGGTTGAATCAACCACTGCCTTGTGCTTTACTACAGAAAAACCACAGAGAGCGGCTTTAATCCCGTGCCCGGCAGGCAACTTCCGATCCTGGCTCCTGCCGAGGGGCACTGCCTCCAGCTACTCGCTCTTTCTGTTCCTGAGAAACTAGATGAAGGACCCAACTGCAGTGAATTGGGAAGAAGTAGGTATAGGTGTTCTGACTCTTCTCTTGAGAAAGAGCGTACACTTTAGTGTTGGGGGAGATCTTTGTGCTTCTGTTTTGATTCCTGGCTAAATTTTAGAGCTTACCCTGTACCTATGAGGACCATTTTGACAGAATGTGTTTTTGCTGTATGTCTCCATGTGTCATTTACGCCATTGTATTTTATGGAATGAGGATTCATAAAACCCCTTTTTTGGTCCGTTCTACACTGGACCAAAATCATGCATAGAAAATAAGCTCCAAATGTACTGTTTTTTTGCCTTCATTATCTGAACATTAACTTACTGTTTCTGCTTAGGGTTTCTATGTTTTGGCACCAACAATAGTCATTTTATTTGGAGTACATTTAGGTGAGGGGTTGAGATAAGGCTTTTGTATCCATTACTATCAAAAAACAATACCAGAAATGCACTGAGCATGTGCTGGGAACCGTAGAGTCTCCTGGGAACTTTTATCAAGATTGGTTTTTTAATCTCTATAAACTTTAAAATGTATTTTCTTCAACGTATTTGCCATTCTTAAAAAGGTACTATTAGAAAAGCAGCACTATATTACTTTCAAACTTTTAACAAAAGCTTGCAGTTCACGATAGTTTAAGCAATTTAAGAAGTGACCTTCCTGTATGTTAAATTAACTAGACACCTTGAGGTAACTAGAAAATTCAGAGGAGTTATTTCCTAGGAATTAAATCACAGGATAACGTCCATGGCTGCAGCCACTTTCAGAGCACAGTCAGTCACATTTCTAAAGCACCATAAATGCAGTGACACTGCAATTATTTGAAATCCAGGCTATAAAGTAAACAGTATATAAATACTAAATAACCCCCAATATAAATGTCAACTTTGATGTTTTTATTTCATTCAGTAAAACTAAGTGATTAAAATGCCTTGAAATCTTCCCCATGAAGTTCAATAAATACCAAAGATGAGAGAGAAGCGGCACAGCCTCTCCCAGGGCATCTCGTCCCGCCACCACCCTGCTGCGGATCGGTTCTTTCTCTTTCTGTTTTTTTACTTTTTATGTTGAAAACCACTACACAAGATTTTTTAAAAAATCAAACAGCATGCCTCCCTTCCCATCCCTGGTGTCTGCCTACCCCCATCACTCAGGCAGACATCGTTACCAGGTCTGGGGGCTCCCCGAGATCTCCTCCTCCTACGTGCGCATGTGTGAACACACTGTTCCGCAGCTCTCGCCGCTCAGAGCACCTGGGAGAGCGCTCCAGGTGGGCGTGCGAGAGTGCTCCCTTGCACAGATGCAGCCCGTCACTGCCGCAGCTACACGTCCTCATCACCGCATCCCACGTGCTGGGACAGAGGGCGCCGTGTCTGTCTGCTGAGCTACACTGGCTGGATCGCACGGCCCACTTGTGCATCTGACGGAAACAGCATGCCATCTTCTGGTTTTCCCCCCAGGACTTTTGGATAGAAAGGGGACAATTTCCCCAGGCATACTGTTTTTCGTGGTAGGCTAGCAGACTACATTTGGGAATAGGCGCAATTATGTGAATGGATTTTTGGTGAGAAAAAACAGGAGTATTTCAAGGAGAGAGTAAGCCGGCTGTGCTGGCTGTGGTTAGGGCTAGCCTTCTGACAGACTCTCCTGGACTGAACTCTAGACAGTTTTTCAATTAAACCCCAACCTTGGGCATTGACCTCAAGAGCCCGGCTGTCAATGAACCTGACAGCCAGAATCACAACTCTCACTGCCTGCTTATCCGTGAGATCTGATCAGATTTCTTCACCTCGCTACCTCCCAGGTGATACGTGACCACCCCATCTTGCCCTCAGCAGGACTCGTTAGGGCAGCTTTAGCCAGAATCCCCCCACCTCTGATGTTTTCTCTTAATAACCTTCTGCCCACTGCACCCCCACCCTGCTCCTTGCTGTAAATCCCCACGGGCCCATGTTGCATTTGGAACTGAGCCTAGCTCTGTACTGAGGTCCCCTTCCCCTGACTGTCATGGTTCCTGAACACAATCTGGTTTTCCTGC